ACACCAGACATCATCAAAATCAAAAGATCCCCAATACAAATGCATCCTACTGAATGATATCTGCACATTTTTACTGTAGAATTAATATTCAGAATATAGAGAGACTTATAAATAACCCAAAAGGGTAAAAAGAACATGAAAAGACATCTCCAAAGATATGAGTAACCAATATGCATACGAAAGGATGTTCAACTTCTCTCACCTTTAGGAAAAAGCAAATCAAATCTCAATGACATACCACCCCACACCCACTAGGATTGTTATTACCATATGTGGTTGCTTGAAAGAAAATGGTCTCCAAAGAGAGTGGCACTATTGGGAGGTATGGCCTTATTGGAGAAAGTGTGTCACTGTGGGAGCTGGCTTTGAGGTCTCCTTTGCTCAAGCGTTGCTCAGTGTGACACTCAGACCACTTCCTGCTACCTGAAAGATCTAGGACTCTCAACTACTTTTCCATCACCAAGTCTGCCTGTACACTATCATGCCCACCATGATGATAATGGTCTGAACCTCTGAGTTGTAAGCAAGCTACTCTAATTGAATGATAAATAAGAGTTGTCATAGTCATATTGTATCCTCATAGCCGTACAAGCCCGACTAAGACACCACACAAATGGAAATAAAAAGTATTTGTGAGGCTAGAGAGGAACTGGAACCTTTTGCACATTGTTGGAGAAAACGTAAAATGATTAGGCCCCCATAGAAAATGACATAGTAGTTAATCAAACTCTTAAAAAGTAGAACTACTATATTATCGACCAATTTCCCTTCTGGTTATACTCGAAACAATGGAAAGTTGGGTCTTTAATAAATATTTATATTCTTATGTACATAACACTCTTAGTCATAACCAGTAAATGTAGAAGCAACTGAAGTATCTACCCACAGGTGAATGCATAAGGAAAATGTGGCACATACATACAACTGAATGTTACTGAGTCAGAAAGACATTCTGCAAGGAAAGTAAACTAGTCACGAAAGGTGAAACTGCGTATATTTCCATTTGTATGCGCAAACAGTAGAATGGTGATTTCCAGGAACTAGAGAGGGTCAGTGGGGATAGGGGGAGAAAGGCTACAGGAGAAGAGCTCTGGGGAGGAAGGCTGGAGAGAACAGTGTGAACAGCAAAATGGTTAGGAACATAAAGCTTATGCTATGCATCTCTTACAATACATAAATTGTGACGATAATGGACGAGGAAGACACCATCCTGAGTAAAATATACCAGAAATACTTACAACACTCAAACTCCAAGACACAGAGTGGAATAGTGTCGATCATCAGGGCTGGGCGGGAAGAATGGAGAGATGTTTTAATGGTGCAAAGCTTCACGTTCTGATGGTGTAAAGGTCCTAGAGAGGCGAAGAGCTGATGGCTGTGTGATGGTATGAATAGAACAGTCTCTAACACCACTGAAGCAAAGGGGCGGGGGAGATGGCACGTGTATCTGTGGAAGAGGACCTGCATTCCTTCCTCAGCATCTACATGGCAGCTCACAAGCATCTGGATCCCAGTTCCATGGATTTTACACCTTTTTTTGGCCTCCAAGGGCACTGCACACATGTGGCACACATACATATGGGCAAACATTCATACATATAAATAAAATCTTTCCCAAACGCTACAGTGGTAAGTTTTAGATTATGTAAGTTTTACCACAAAAAAAAAAAAGTTTTACAAAGAATCCAGCACTATTGGGAACAATAAATTTCATTACATAAAAAGACCTCCAAAATAGTAACAATGCAGTAAAACTTTAAAATGGGTCAGGCTTTGTTTTGTTTTTCAAGACAGTGTTTCTCTGTATAGTTCTGGCTGTCCTGGAACTCACTATATAGACCAGGTTGACCTCAAACTCATAGATCTGCCTGCCTCTGCCACCAATAACTTGAATTAAGGGAATGTGCCACCACACCTGGCTAAATGGATCATACTTTTTAAATATATAGATACAATAAAAATATTCTTCAGAAGAAAAATATTCATGAACAAAAACTTGAAATCAACTGTTTTCCAGGAATGTAAATAAACATTATAATCCCTGTCCCTTGCAGTATTCTAAGTTCTAAATATATTTAATTTTAATCATCTATTTTTCTAAGGACAGTGTTGGGTACTAACCAGGGAAGTCTACCCCTGAGCTATACTCCCAGCCTTCTACACATATTCTACTTTAAAAATTTCTGGAAAATACAGATATATATTTATTTTATTTATATTCTTCATAAAGAAATTGCACAAATTAATAAAATAATCTATATTGTTTACACTACAGACCCTCAGACTTTGAATTTTCTGTGACCCCTTGCCTGCCAGAGTAAACAACCTCTTTTTCTATGCTTGTAGTTGCTCTGAGCACAACACCCTCATGGGTTCCTGATGGCAGGGGAGTGGTTTCTGGTGGGCTTGCAGCTGAGAAATCCTGAGAGCTAGGGCGTGGCCATTAGTCAAGGAGAGTCCTATATAAGCTGCCCTGGAACATGATAAAAGGGGCATTTTTGTTTCAAGGATGAAACCCCTTCTCTCTCTCTCTCTCTCTCTCTCTCTCTCTCTCTCTCTCTGTGTGTGTGTGTGTGTGTGTGTGTGTGTGTGTGTGAATCTTCAGCCCCTTGCCCGACTCGTGAACCTTTGTGTGGTAGACAAGCGGTACTGTACAGGTGGACTGTACACTTTATGTTCAAATGCATGCAGAAAATATGAGGTTATTTCACTTAAACTTTAAATTATTTCAAACATAAGCTTTACAAAATTATTACATTTTCATTTATTGTGTGTGGTGGGGGCAGTGTATGTGCCACAGTGTGCCCATGGTGGTCAGAAGACAAGGGGCAAAGATGGGTTCTTTCTACTGTGTGGGTCCCCAGGGTTGAACTCAGGGTAGCAGGCACCTTTACCCACTGAGTCATCTTACTAACACTCAAAATAAACATTTAAGAGAAACAAAATAAGCATGCTTTAGAGTCCCTAATTTTAAAACAACATTCAATTTAACTGCATGAAGCTTTTGATATAGCAATAAAGGGAAAGAATGGCAAATCTGTGTTTGCTTATGTATCTAATACACTCGTTCAGGATGAGAATTGTCTTTAGCACTGTTTTAAATTAATCTGCCTCCAAGATAAAATGTAAACTTAAGAATAATGCTGTTGATAAGACACAGGTGATCTTGGTGATCTCAATGGTGAAACTAAGAACAAAAGTGTAAATAAATCTGCTGTTGGAGTCCAGCCTCGATGAGCTCATATGTCCAGGGTAGAGACATGTGGGTTAGAACAATCAGACAGACAGACAGACATAGAATAGTACCGGGAGGGCAACTCAGTGAATACTGAATCCACCTGCGTTAATTTTCCATGCACTTATATACCCCAATCCAAAAAGGGGGGAAGAAGGCAAAAGACTGCTTTAACACGACACAAAGGACAACCAGGACAGTTATTTGTTTCAGTGCCTGAGACAGTAAGGCACTATTTCCTGAGTTAAGCATTCTGATGTTTGGGGCAGGATGTGCAGCAAATACACCTTAGACCAAATATCCCATAGGAGGTCACTCCCTGGGTCAAACCTCCTGTTTTAAAATGAAGGGGCAGGAATAGGCTTGAATTCTCTGACCTTTGGTCAGGGTGGACCTCTATGGGTCATCTTAATGTTCAAAACACCCAGTAACCACACCCTAGGTCAGCATACCTTGTTTGTAGCCACACCTGTTGTCAACAACTTTGAAAGAGTAAAAAAAGCTACGACTCTCTGACCTTTAGTCAAGGTGGAACAGGACTCACATCCAAAAAAGGGGGAAGAAGGCATTTTGGTTTTGTGTGTTTTGGAGCTGCTTTTCATTGTCAGCCCAGATTTTCTATTTAGATTATGCTCAGAAACAGAACCCTAGGTTTTTTGCTAGTCCTGTAATGGCTCCCTCAACCAAAATAATCTCTTTCCTTGTTCTCATCTCTGTCCTTCCTCCATCTCAACTATCCCATTCCCTCAAGTTCTCTCCCCACTCCCCTTATCCCCTCTTCTTTCCATTCTATCCTCCCTTCTCCCCCCACCCTCATGCTCCCAATTTTGTCAGGCGATCTTGTCTATTTCCCCTTTCCAGGTGGATCTATATATGCTTTTCTTAGGGTTCACCTTGTTACTTAGTTTCTCTAGGATCATGAACTATAGGCTCAATATCCTTTGCTTTACAGCTAGTATCTCCACTTATGAGTGAGTACATACCATGTTCATCTTTCTGGATCTGGGTTACCTTACTCAGGATGGATTTTTCTAGTTTCATCCATTTGCATGCAGACTTCAAAACCTGGCACTAGAGAAATTCCCAGGAATCCACAAGGATGACCATAGCTAAGACTCTATGCAAAAGATGAGAGGGTGCCCAAACTGGCCTTGCAACCGATGGAAACAGAGGCAGAAAGCAGCAGTGGGGCACTGGGCTGAGCTCCCAAAGTCCAGTTGAAGAACGGGAGGAGTGAGAATAAGAGCAAAGAGGTCAAGACCATGATGGGGTCATCCACTGAAACAGTCTGTCTGAGCTAATGAGAGATCACCAACTCCAGCTGGAAATGGAAGGAACCAGCATAGGTCCAAACTAGTCCCTCTGAATGTGGGTGACAGTTATATGGCTGAGGCAGACTGCAGGGCCACTGGTAGTGGCACCAGGACTTTTCCCTGCTGTTTGTTTCTACTGGCTTTTAGGGAACCTGTTCTCTTTGGATGGATACCTTGCTCAGCCTAGTTATAGTAGGGTGGGCCTTGGACCTTCCCCAAAGCAATGTGCCTTACCCTCTCTGAGGAGTGGAAGAACGGGGAAGGAATAGGTAGAGGGGATGGGGGGGGGAGAAGGAACTCGGATTGATATGTGAAAAAAATAAGGTAGGTCATTGTACATATTAAAAAAGAAAGAAACAGTACCCTAGACTATATCTCTGAGTGTGCAACCACAGACGCCTAGCGTTTTAGGCACACATCATCTAACACAGTTGTGCCCCATGTTTTCTTACCATCCTCGATGGACGCTTCACTGCTGTACCCGTCATACTCCGCAGACAACGGGCTGTACTTCTGCCTGGTCTCCCAGGCGTAGTTCTTTTGTCTAGAATCCACCAAGGGCCACCTGGAAGTGTGTGTTCTGGATAAGGCCTCATGATATTTACCCAGTGCTTCATCTTCACTTTCAGAGGATGAACCAGGCTCATCTCTGTCCATGTAGGAATTATCTATTGGATAACAGTGAGAGGAAATTATAATTTTAATAAACTTATGGCAAATTTATTTAAGACATATATGCATATATACACACACAAAACAAGCAAAAATGCAAATATGTATGTTTGTATGAGTATACACAGAGTGAAACTAATTAGAACAATCCTTAAAATTACTGAAATTCTTGATAATCTCTTAAACTAAATTTAAAGTATATTGTAACATTTGTGTGTATGTATGTTATGACACAAAATTTCAGTTTTAGAAAATATATTCTTCATGTAAGAATACAAGATGTTAGACTTTTATGTGTTTATAAGAAATATCACATTGTATATTCTAATTATATAAATAGTCTCAGACACAGAGTTTGTAACATTTTTAGATATAAAGGAAATTATAGTTGTCACGCTGCACAATTTTGTAAAAGGTCTGCTATATACAAATGAAATTATGAGTGCTGTCATTGCTTATAGACTAGAGTAAAACAATCAATGCCATACGACACATTTCTGGTTTTCATTTGGCCTATACTTTCAGAACTAACCATGCTTCATGCTAACAGGGAACAGAGAAATGGCAGACACAGACACACTAGTATTACAACTGATACAAGCTTGTGAAGTATGTTGATAATAAAAGAAAACAAAATATATAACCAACATGCCTATCAATGGGCCGTGGTTAGGCAAATGATAGCACAATCATTCAACATACACACTAAAATTGCACAGCCCTTAACATGAGTCAGTAAGCTTATGGTTCACAAGGAAAGAATAGAAGGTACAATTATATTTTTATTTAATAGATATTATACATATTTCAACCTGCAATCTATAAACATATATATAGATAGATAGATAGATAGATAGATATAGATATACACAAAATTTATAACACTACCAGTGAAAAGTTAAATTACTAGGAAAATTTTACTTAATCATAGCTAAATTTTAAAAGTTATAATGTTTATATTCTCTAAGAAACAGCAGAACAGTTAAGAGTTTATTTCTCATGATGTCTGAATAGATATCACTAAGCTTTTCCAATCCACCAGCCACACTTACAGTGTATAGAACATTAGATAGCTGGTGGTTAATCTGGAACAATGCCGACATTCCAACTTCACCATCGTCAAGAACCTGACTAAACAGTGCTACGATAACCAGACCAATTCACACAGCTCAGAGTGTGAATGTCTTGTGAAATACCAGAGTAAGACCTAAAGGCAGAGGAAGGCTGTGAGTCCCTCATGGATGTACCCTCATGTAGCCCCTTTGCAGTCAAACTTCCTCTATCCCAGAATGCCCTACATGCAACATCAGAGAAATCTTCTTCTTACGCCTGAGTCTTCCTGTGAGAGCCTAAAATGCTGTTCCAGGAACACAGCAATGCAGCTACATAAAGGCTAACCTACAGGCCAGAACACCTGCAATCTGTCCACAGGACTATTTGTTCAGGACTTTTCTTTAGGATATTTGAGAGCCTTTGGTTTCTTGAGATGCCAGAGTGCTCCTCAATTAAAAACGAAGCAAAACAAACAAAAAAAATTGCAGTGCTGCTGCAACTGTATTTATTCGTGGGAGTCATCCTATTGTCATTTTCTAAACAATTCATTACTTTCATTTCTTCATAAGTAATGATGCTGCCAGAACGAAACAAGGCACCAAAGCCCAGTGAGTCACAGCAGCTAGGAGAATGGACTCTATAGTGAACACATCTTCACAAACATTTCTCTGTAACTAGTCCAGGAGTCTAGGGTCAGTTTCTCCTATGCCATTAAAAACCTACTTATTGTTTGATATACAACAGACCCCTCCTACAGATGAGGCACATAGCAGAATTGAAAAGTCTTCCATTAGTTTCATGATGTCTCAGGTTTTGATATCTTATGAGAATCTAAATTTATAGAAAAACTACAGGAACATATTCTATAAACAAAAACCAGTATTTGGGGGCCTTCTGATCAGATCAGAAGTACAGAGGTGATGAAGGAATACTAGAAGCAATTATCAGAAGGTGTGCACTGCAAAGATGTTTTGAAAACTGCCACAAATATTATAGCTGAACATTGTAAATACTCAGAATCTTAATTCTATATAAAGAACTCATGAATAATAATGTATTGCTCATGTACAGTCAAATATGAACTAGAGCCATCTCATGAAAGTTATAAGGCAAAGGTAAATGAAAAAGACATATCCAGAAGCATGCTATTTAACAATATAGGAGCTATTGATTTCAAGAAACATATAAAATATTTTACATAGATCCTCACTGGGGTAGCTTTGAAAATGTTCTAACTCAAGACTTAGTTATAAAAGTAAAACAAAAATTTAAATATATGAGTTTCATACCAAATAAGTTCTAATTAAAGTCTGCATAAAATTTCTAGTATTAAAATAAATTGCAGTTAAAGTTAGAAAATGGGTGGGGTGATTCACAGCTGTAATCTCAGTAAATGGAGGCTCAGGCAGGAGCACCTCAGGTTCAAAGCCAGCCTGGGTTATAAAGTGAGTTTCAGGCCAGCTGGAGCTGCACAGTGAAACTCTGCTCACAAGAATACAAAGAAGAAAAAGAAATATCAGGACTGCTGGAAATTGCTTAGATAGTGTAGGGATCATATACCTGGTGGCATAAAATAACATAAATTACCTAAAAATGACTGAAAAAATCTAAATGTTTCTAAAAATATCTGCAAGTAAGAAGATCAAAGAAAAAATTAAATTAGATATACAGACATGGAAAGGAAAGCTGAGAAATTTAAATGTTTTTCTACTTTAAAAAATCAAGAGAAAAGTTAATCACTCAAACCAGCATTAGGAGACCTCACCTTTTTCTGGTAATATCTTAGAATATTTGCCAACTTTATTCTCTGCTGCTCCTCTCTTAGCAGAATTAGCTTCATTTTTCTTTGTTTTTATGTCTCCTTTCACTTTGTAGTACTTTGTTGGATTTATTTTTTCTTTAATTTTCCCGGGAAACTTGATTTTACAAATTGTTGATGGAGCTGAACGTGTGTATTCCTTCACAATGGATTTCTGTGTCCTGTATCTGCTGTTTCTCACGTTATCTTCTGGAGAACATTTGTTTCCTGAATATTCATTCCCTCTGAATCCATCATGTTTACCATGTTTTTTAGCTTTCTTTAAGTGATCAGAACGCTCTGAATCCGTAAGATGTCTATTTTCAGCGAAGCTCCCCGACTGCCTGTGCTCTGTGCTCACGGCCGCTTGCTGCGGTCTGGCTTTAGAGTCACCCATAGCCTTGTGCCCACTGCTGTTTGGGTTCCCCCTCACTTCGAGATAACCTACCTCCTGAACACCATGCTGACCATTCCTGGAGCTTCCTCCTCCAGCTGTCTCTGGCTTGTCAGGACGTTCCAGTTCATGACAACTGGGTGCAGCCACCATTTTCTGCTTGGCAGCTGATATCCCATCATTCCCCAAGCCTTGCAAAGCAGAACCACCAGCACCTCCAGTTGCTCTGTGTTCTGAGGGTTTCCACTGCCCATCACGAACATAAAATCCCTGTTCGTGCATTTCTTGTTCTTGGTTCTGAGGAGCTGAGATGTCATAACTGGTGCTTTGCCTTGCTTCGTGCTCCCTGTCATACTGTGTTTTCTGACCATCACTGGTGTTGGAGGTATCCCACAACACTGCACTTCTGACTTTAGAAGACCCTGCAGCCTCTTCTGCTGTGCAGCTTTCCTCCTCTGGGTAAAAGCCATGCATCATACTTGCTACCTGCCCAGCGACTGAGTCACTTAATGCATAGCTGACTTCCCCAACCGCAGTGCTCAAATCTTCCACAGCACTACTGATTGTGTCTACCAGGGAGGACACTGAAGGCAGATTCTGCTGAAAACTTTTGAAAAATGCCATTTTCCAGTTGCTTGTTCCTAAACGGTGTGATAATGGAACTTTCTCTTCTCAATATATCAACTACTTTGGAATGTGAACTTAATATTTACACGAATGTTGCTATCGTTAGAGTGATACAAGTTATTTTGCACTGTGTCTTTGAATCTGTTTGTAAATGCAATGTGCACTGGAATACGTTGAAGTAAAGACTCCTCCGGAAAAAAATAAAAATCAAATCACTTGGTTTAAGTGTAATGACATCTTTTCCCACTCCAAAGCTATCAAAACAGCAGCAAGACATTATTTTTTCCCTCAAATACTATTGGGTATTTAGTCTATACCTGAAAGAAGAAGTATAAAAAGGATTTTTATTATGTGCCTTCTTTACTAAGAGTCAGTGTGTAATAAGGGAATAACCCCATTAACAGACTATCAATATTTCATTACTTTTTAAAGATGTATTTACTTATTATGTATACAGTATTCTGCCTGCATGTATGCCTGTACACCAGAAGAGGACATCAGATCTTATTATAGATGGTTGTGAGCCACCATGTGGTTGCTGGGAATTGAACTCAGGACCTCTGGAAGAGTAGTCAGTGCTCATAACCGCTGAGCCACCTCTCCAGCCCAGACTATCAATATTTCAAGTTAAGAACTGTACTTAAAGGAAAATATCTAAACAGTTTTGCAAAGAACCGGAGAGAAGAGGTGAGAGCATCTGCTGAATGGCACTTTCAAGAACCGGAATGGACACATTTAGCCTTATTTGATACACAGTACCTTTAAAAGGGAATGCTCTTTCTACTTTAACAAGTAGAGAAAAACAATAGGATATGGATGAGACCTGAGGCCACACGACTGTACAGTGACAGTGGGAGCTGTTTAACATTTTCACTCTCCCTTGCTTGCAAATGCAAACTGGGGCTTCCCAGAGGTGAGAGACAGACCTGACGGGCGGATACCAGGATCAAGTTGAGTCCTAATGGCCCCATGTGACATGTATGCAGCAACGTCACTCTTCTCTACAAATCTTTCTTTTGGTTTAAAAAATTCTTTTAAAAAACTTTAGATTGTTACTTATATTCACAAATAATAACCTTATTGCTAGTACTTTTTTTGTATAATCCATAGAGGCTAAAAATGTACCTCACTAACAGAGTACATGCATAACATATGTAAAGGCCTGGGTTCAATCCCCAGCAAAAACCTTTTAACTCAAAACAAAAAGAAAAGTTGGTAAAAGATAATTTTCTCAGTTTACTATTTAATACAGTCCATATTAAAAGATGTAACTTACACCAACCAAAGTTCTTTGGAATTTGAAAACAAAAGAAAATCCAGGGAAGCTGAATCAGATAATTACAGAAAGCTGATGGCGGCTTGGTGGAGAGGGAGGGAGGGAAGTACAGTAGGAGGGAGAGACAGACAGGAAGATGAGAAACAGAGACAGAGAGATGGAGACAGACACACACAAAAGCGTGCAGAAACAGAGAGACAGATAGAGACACACAAACACAGAGACAGATAGAGACACACAAACACAGACACATGCAGAGAGACAGAGAGAGAAAGAGGGGGGCGGGGGAAGGGAGGAAAACAGAGACAGATTTTTAAGCAGTTCACTCACACAAATGAGTGGCTTATAGGGCTGGAGTGGAGTATGAGAAACACAAACACAGAACCATACGAGGCACACAGTTTCTAACACAGAAGCCAAAACGCAGCTCAGGTTATCAGAAGAGGAAAGCGCTCTCCAGCATTTGTGCAAGGAAGAACCTGGCTCCTCCACTCTCGTTCTTCAGACTCTCCAGTTACCACCCTGGTTTATCATTCTCAACTTCCTCCACTATCATTTTCATCAGTCATATTTGAAACAACAAATAAAAAGCTCTTGTAATAGTATTTGTAAAAGTGTCTCTAAAATGGGAACATACAGTATTACAGTCCTCAAGCTCCCTAGAATCCAGCAATAGGAGAGCACAGTCCTCCTCCGAGCAACAGCATCCTTCCTCGGTTGAGAACTAAGACTGTAAGACAAAGCCTACTAGTGGGCGACCCTGGGAAAGCTCTCCTGAGGGTCATGTGCAAGTGAGCCAGGTTTTTATTCTTAAAGCATTATCTACTCATAGGATAAACTCAAAATCATGCCTTCTAGATGAAAGGTGAAAACATTATTTTGCAATAACAGATAGCTACCTTTATACAGTAGCTTATCAATCTGTATGCAACAGAGATCTAAACATACAATTACCTGACAGATATTTCATCCTTACAAAGTGGAGGTTCAAATGCTACGTTTATCATGCACCAAGTCAACCTTCTCAGAGAACCCGTTAAAGCAAGGGACAGCACAGATAAGTGGTGATGTGATTACTTACATATTTTATCTTGTGAATTCTTCTGTGTGCTGTATCCTGGATCAAGGTCTGGAAAACCTCCAACATTTTCAAAACAGAACTTCTTATTAATATAGAGAAAAAGGAGCAGCATCAAGACAATAAACACCCCAATCGCTGACAAAAATCCAACTGCCTCTGGAGAGACTAGAGAAAAGAAAGTCATAGCCGTCAGCATCTGTTTTCTCTAAGCTGCGAACAAAAAGGAAATTCCTAATATACACTAGATAGAGTGTTATCTAATTCCAATTACTTTTAAAATATCATAATTTAAAATACTTTGTAAGGAAACCCACAAATTTTAAAAATAATTTTTCAATATATTCAACAGCATTCATTCAAAATTTTTCAAAGTGTTTCTAAATAAATATATTGAAAGAATTTTAAAAGAAAAAAACAGTCTAAAACATATGTAGTTAACAAATTTTAAATCCATGAAGAAAACATAGGTAGTTAATAATTTTTAAAACCATGAAGGATGTTATAAAAATTTTAGCACTGAATTAAAAAATACTTTTCATCTATAAAAATAATTAAACTCATGAAAGTATATACTATTATTATCTCTCAAGACTTTGCTGGACCTTCCTTATTAAACATTGGATTCCCTAATCTAGCATTTATATTCCAGCCTCTCCTCCTAGCACACACTTCAGTCAAATGGGTCTAGTCTGCTGCCTCATGATGAACATACAATTTTGGGTTTGGCTTGTCCTCTCCCTCATGTCTGGAATGCTCATCTCGTCTCTCATAACATTCCACACACCATAGCTTACACCTAGCTCCTGTTTTCTACACATACGATGGAGGTAGCAAGAACCCAGCATCTATAGACTATGACTGGAAAAGGACAGGATCTCCACTTAGGATCACCAAGATCCAGCACTGGAGGGTCAAATGTGCTTTTCTGGAAGCTATGGCTTCTGAGACCACATCTTATGAACTAACAGAACTTAGACAAGTTAAACAGCATGAGACTTTTGTTATGATGAGCTGTCAGACTAAACAGAACTTAGTAGTATCAAGAGAACTTATGACAACACCCAGGAGACTTGACTCCCAACCTCACTGTCCTTTTATGTCCCATTGCCCGACACAGCACCACTCATCTGGAGTTTGGCAAGGATCATGTTTTTGCAAGTCTAGTATCACACAAGTATGAGCAGATGGATCTTAAATCTCAAATACCCCCTGTGAAGCATGACCCACTTCCCCTCCACTGCTTATGTAGGATCTACCATGCGATCTCTCCCAAGATCTTTCAGCAGAGCTTGTTTGTTTAAAATGAGGTCACTAACAGATGAGTGACTGGAGCTTTATCTGTTAGCTTTTCATTATTCATGCCAGTCAGGCATACCATAAGTAGAACAGAGTATGACATTACAGTCTTCTCACAGCTGGGTCAGCAGTGTTACAGACATTGGACAGGAGAGGCAGTGAACGTGGAGGGTCTGGCAACAGCAAGTCCATACAGAGTCTACCCTGTCACTAACTCAGACTTCACAAAGATCCAGTCACCATCCCCGCCATAAACTCATCTGTGCATACGCCACATGCCCAGCCAGAACCCAAGGCTGCTAGAAGCTGTGCTTTCTACTGTGCTCACACTGTCTCTCCTGTCTCTCAGCTCCTCGACCTTTCCTATTCCTGCCCCCACCTTACTCCTATATTACTCTTTATCTTCCTCCTTCCACTCTGTGAAACTCAACCTCGTGGTAAATTCAAGCCTATACAAGAAAGCATAAGGAAAAGCAGTGAGCTCTGTTGTAGAGACGGGTATATAAGCTGCCGGGGTGGCCAGAGGAGCCACCATCAGAGTCGGAGAACAAAAGGATGCACTTGAGTATAGGTGAAAAGACTAATAACTCTATAAGTGGAAAATGGCAGAGAGTCTAGCATGGCCACGGATATAACATTCCATAGTCTCTGAAGAGTAACAGTCATGGCTGCTGCACTTACCTCTCTGTCCTCATGTGCCTAACAGCACCAGCATGTGTGAATGGAGGAATGAGCGGATGGATGGTAAGCAAGTGAGAGAATGTGCGTTTTGGGAAGATCCAAAAATATGAGAATCAAAAGTAAAGAAGAAAACAAGCTGCAAACTGTCAAACAGTCTTGGATACCACCCTGAATATTTTGAACTCGGAGAACAACAGGGTTATAACATGAATGTCTTGAAAATTACACTGTTAAAATTAAGAAAAATGGAATAAGATAGGGAAGAAATAGCTGCAAGATTATGATGAGCCCTTAATTAAGCAGTAACACCAGTAGCAGAAAAAAGGGATGAATTCTAATTTTTTTCAAGGAAAATAAGTAATGACCCTATCAACAGAATCTAGAAGATGATGAAGAGCTGAGGATAACTCTCATTCCAAACAGAATGATCAGGCAGACAGCAGTGTCATTAACAAAAATGAAAACTATGAGAGGGAAGGAGTTTGATTTAGCAGCATGGGGGAAAGACGCATGTAGACAAAGATCTCTTAGGGGATGCTGGGTGTGGTGTTGAGGTGGTATATTCCAAACATCAGCAGAGTACTGCAGAGCAGAATGTGAGCATGCGATCCATGTGAATGTAAGGTTGGTCATAAAAGATGCGGGGCCCCCATTTCTTCCTCTTATGCCATATTCATTCAGTCAGAAAGTAAAACTAAGCAAACAAACTCAGATGTGAGGTCTTCTTATTGGTTAATCTATTCATTACAAATTTATTGATAAATACATGCTATCTTTTTGGAGAATTAAAAAAGCAATAATTTTTCCAATAGGAAAAGGAAAAATAGGCCTGCTACAAATATGTTACTCATACAACCCTGATTTTATCCATTACTTGATTAAATGCCCATTTTCCCACACAGAAAATACATAGTCATAATTTAAAATAGTAATGTGGTTGTAAAAAAATAAGTAACGTTTCCTAATATAGCAAATATTATAAATCTTCAGATTTCTATTTTGTCATTATATCAAGGCCAAAATATTTATTATTTCAAATAAACAATAATAGTTCTGAGTATATCAATATCAACTAAATCTCACTTAAGCATAAAACTGGAAGAGAAGATGCACCGAAATCAGACTACAGCATGAACACTGTACACAGTCAATAAAGAATACAATACACTTAGATCTGTAAGACTAGAATTTCTCCCTAAAATCTTATACTATGAATCTGCTTGTAGACATTCTGCATATGTCTAAGAATAGAGTTAATTAATACATGCATAAATATATCCTTTTCAAGGCTTCTAGATCATCAAAGGCAAGAAAATCTATTAAAAATGCCTATTGGGAGCCGGGCGGTGGTGGTGCATGCCTTTAATCCCAGCACTTGGGAGGCAGAGGCAAGCAGATATCTGTGAGTTTGAGGCCAGCCTGGTCTACAAGAGCTAGTTCCAGGACAGGCTCCAAAGCTACAGAGAAACCCTGTCTTGAAACACCCCCTCCCAAAAAATTAAATTAAATTTAAAAAATCCTGTTAGGAGTTGGAGAGATGGCTTAACAGGTAAGATCACAGGATGCTCTTCCAGAGGATCCAGGTTCAGTTCCCAGCACCCACATGGTGGCTCACAACTGTTTGCAACTCCAGTTCCTGAAGATCCAATAGCTTTTTTCTGGCCTCCATGAAGACTGCACACACAAAATGGATAAAATTGTGCAAATGGTACACAGACATACCTATGGGTGAAACGCCTATAAACATAAAATAAATAAAAACTATTTAAAATTCCTATGGCAGGGCTCATGAAAGAGTTCAGTCAATAAGCCTGCTATGCAAGCATGAACACCTGAGTTCAATCCCCAATACCCACATAAAAGGCTGGACATGTGATGTGGGATGTCTTTCTGTATATGTGTTGCTTTTACTGGTTGATAAAGAAAGCTGTTTTGACCAATGGTAAAATAGCCAGGCAGGAAATCTGAACAGATTATAGATAGATAGATAGATAGATAGATAGATAGATAGATAGATAGATAGATAGATAGATAGA